TTTGATGGTGTCCGGGTCATGTGACGGTGTCCCGGTCATGTTGTGATAGTGTCCCGGTCATGTTGTGATGGTGTCCCGGTCATGTCATGCTGGTGTCCCGGTCACCTTGTGACGGTGTCCCGGTTATGTTGTGATGGTGTCCCAATCATGTTGTGACGGTGTCTCGGTCATGTTTTGATGGTGCCCTGGTCATTTTGTGATGGTGTCGCGGTTATGTGATGATGGTGTCCAAGGAAGAGATGGTCGATGTGTTGAAAACAGCAGCTGTTTCCAGATTTTTCTTTTTGTCCCGGTTTGTATTTTGCTATTGGGGTCTCCAGCTGGGCTAATTTGGACGGATTTTGTGGGGTAGGAATTGCTACGCTTACTATATATCTATTGCTTGTGGAATTTGTAGTTGAGGAGACCTTTCGTAGAGGTGCAGAGGATGTGCTTGAGAAAAACGTTCGGAGCATTGCTTGTGAAAAACATGCAGGACGTCGTCTTCTACATGTGCTTCTTCGTGAACAACCAGTTCCGCATCATTGTCGACGGGTCTGCCACCGGCAGTGACAATCTGGAAGAAGTCTTCCAAACGAATCTGCGACGGATTGGCCAGGTTGTGGCAGTTTTGGACAGCTGGGAGGAGCCAGTCTACTTGCAAAGGGTCTGGACCATCTATGAGCAATACGTAGCTTGTTCCTTGCAGGTTCCTGTTACCTTCATCATGCCGGAAGGTGCAGCAGCTTCTCGGCGCGAAAGGAGAACAACTGTTTTTCAGTGACTTGAGCAACGCTTTGGTGAAAAGCCCCCCTGGTGCAGATCAAACAATCATTATCATTCTGGTCAGTTGTATCCGTAGCCCCTTCAATGACAGTTCCCAAGTTGACGCATGCGAGGCTTCCCTATCAAAGCAGATCCTTGTCGCACCCATCCAGCACACTTTTCCTACTTTGTTCAATGCTCACCCTCACAGCAGGGCCTCATCATGAAACCCTCTCTCGCTCTCTCTCTCTCTCTCTTTTGTGAACCCCCCTGGCTCTTTTTTTGGTTCGCCACCACCACGTCACATCGCCACGCTGTGGGCCACATAATTCTGCACCATCAAATACCGGGTCTCCCCAGCACTTCCGTTGCAAGGATCTCCCGTGGCGACGCAGGCATCGATGAAGTGACCCGGTCCTTGTGCCACGTCAACGTGGCCGATGCACGAGCCTTTGATCCTCGAGACGAGCAGAAGGTGAAGACCACGATCCAGTCCACGGTTCCTTCGCTGATCGAATTTTGCTGCGACTGGTGCGACTGGTACGGGTGGTGAAGGCAAACCTTCTGGGCAGACATGTGATGACTTTCAAGCCTGAACAAAAGCGGGTAGAGTCTAGAGAGGTTAGTTGCTTGAAAATGTTGGAGGGCTGGGGGACATTAGGGAGTTTCGTGAATATTGTCGGAACTTGCAAGTTGGCGACTGAGTCAGTACCCCCATTCGATTGTCAGTTTCGCTCAAGAGAGCCTGTCGGTTTTGGGATGAGGAAGGCGGGTGCAACGAAGGCTTTTTGCTGGTGTTTGTTGGGTCGTGGCGCTCGCGGTGTTGAGCAAAGGTCGGCTTCGACCAAGTAAATCAGCACGTGAAGGATGCTATGATCCAGTGGATTTGCGTCGTGGTGCGGGAGAAATTCCAACAACGCATCAGCAGAGCTGATCGTGAGGACGTCTTTTCTGTCTAGCGGAAGTCTGGCAGCTAATTAAAGCATGTGCAAAAGCCGCAAACTTCAGCCTGGCAGAAGTCTAGTGCACCTTGGGCAAAAAGTCAAAAGTGATTCAGTCTACGCCCCCGCACCCAAAGCAGACCTTTATATATCTCTTCCTTTGTATAGGATATAGCATGTCGAATTCCCTTGAATTGATGCCCAGCACCGCACGAAGCCAGCCCGCCGGCTTGAGCGCCGGACAACCGCAGCCGTCCTTAAGGCATAGCTGGAGCGACCACACACAGGACGACTTTACGAACTTCGCGACCTGGAGCAGTGCCGGGGTCACTCCGAGGTTTGTATAGTTCTAAAAGTGACAGTAACTGTTGGGGAGCATCGAAGGAGCACACACCACAGGCTCTTGCAAAAGCATGACAAAGGGAAAAGGGATTGGCTTTTTTTTGCTTGCAATCATGGTGGTGATATTCACAAAAGCGAGTGCATCCAATTTGAGTCACCGCAAATCGAACGATTCGAGGCCAAGAATTGCACCGATCGAGCACATGAGGCAGGGCAGTTGATGGTCTTCAGTCCGGGCTTGCAGCTTGAGATATCATTTTCTTTTGATTTTCCTTTTGTGCCTATGTATAAATGTGTTCCGCGTGAGCCATTTGGCACAAAGCCTTTGTGGATTGTCGTGGATTTATCGGGGTATTCACCTTCCACACGCTCGCAATGTCGCAGATGTATGTGCTGAAGCGCGATGGAAGCAAGCAGGAGGTGAAGTTTGACGCCATCACCGATCGCCTTCGACCTCTCTGCCACGGTGCGTGAGAGCTCTCTTCATTCCAGTGATGCAATCAATAGCTTCCCAAATCTGCAGAATCATTACAACATCCATTCACACCAAATCTGCATGACAAAACGGCAGATATGATTCTGATATGATATGATACAATACATTTGATGTGAGTTTGTTGTCCAAACCATAGAGTTGGTCCCTTCTCCCTGTTACGACAGTAGGCCAATCCCTTTGACCCCGGATCCGATCACCATCTCTCCATCGCAGGTCTGGATGCCAACTACATCGATCCGGTGCCTGTGACACAGAAGGTCATCGAGGGATTCTACAATGGCATCGCCACAGCAGAGATTGATACCTTGGCAGCTGAGACGTCTCTTGGCCGATGGCGGGGAAGCACTTGAGTTTTTGTTAAAGGAGGCTTGTTGTGTGAGATTGATGTGTGATGAAGCCGGATATGGGGTTTCTTTGGCTTCCTGATTGCATTTGCTACACCGGATGAGCGGATTTGGTGATTGTATGTGGTTGTATTGCTGACTTGAAGCATTGGGAAGCGCATGCTGAGGTGTGCTTACATGTCTCAGAAGCATCCTGACTTCTCCATCTTAGCTGCACGCATCGCGGTCTCAAACTTGCACAAGAACACGTCCGACTCCTTCTATGAGACCTGCAAAATTGTGCATGACTTTGTAGACCAGCAAGGGAGGCCAGCTGGTTTGATCGCAGAGGACGTGTTTGAGTTCGTGCAAGCCAACGCGAGTGAGTTAGACAAGGCCCGATGTCTTGATGCATACACTCATTCATTTTGATTCATCCGTTCATCCATTGAATACTGGTTCGCGTCATGCGTTCATTGTTTCATAACGAATTCATCTACTGTATCCATTATTCATCAATTTTCTTCAGGCCATGGTCTACACCAGAGACTTTGACTATGATTACTTTGGCTTTAAAACCTTGGAGAAGTCCTACCTGATCCGGGTGCATGGCAAGTGTGTGGAGCGCCCTCAGCACATGATCATGAGAGTTGCCTGTGGCATCCACTGTGGGGATTTGAGGGCCACACTGGAGACTTATGACTTGATGTCCAGGAGGTTTTTCACCCATGCCACACCCACCCTCTTCAATGCGGGCACGCCCAAGCCACAGATGTCCTCGTGCTTTCTTCTGAAAATGAAGGAAGATAGCATTGAGGGAATTTATGACACCTTGAAGCAGTGTGCTTTGATCTCGAAATCCGCTGGCGGCATTGGAGTGGCTATCTCCAATGTTCGTGCCGGGGGATCCTATATCAGGGGCACCAATGGTTACAGCAATGGGCTTGTGCCAATGCTGAGGAACTTCAATGAGACAGCTCGCTACGTTGATCAGGGTGGAGGAAAGCGCAAGGGTTCTTTCGCGATGTACCTGGAGCCATGGCATGCTGATGTCTATGACTTCATTGAGCTTCGCAAGAATCATGGAAAGGACAGGGCGGCAACCAGCAAAGGGTGTTCAGCTACCTTTGCTTTTTTTGAGTGTTAGTCCTTAGGTCAGGAAAAGATGACCAAACTGCTCTCCAAAATGCAGAGCCCAAGATTGCCAGGAGGAGCAACGTGCTCGTGATCTCTTCTTGGGCCTTTGGATTCCAGATCTCTTCATGAAGCGTGTCTTGGAACAACAGGATTGGACCTTGTTCTGCCCCAACGAGGCCTACGACCTGGAGACTGGCAAGGGCTTGATGGACCTTTGGGGTGAGGACTTCGAGCGTCTCTATACGAAGCTGGAGGCCGAAGGAAAAGGTCGCAAGACCGTGAAGGCCCAGCACTTGTGGTTCCGGATTCTGGAAGCCCAGATGGAGACCGGGACCCCATATATGCTCTACAAGGATCACTGCAACAGAAAGTCCAATCAGCAGAATCTGGGGACCATCCACTGTTCCAACCTTTGCACGGAGATCATTGAATACACTTCACCTGATGAGGTGGCTGTTTGCAATCTGGCATCCATCGCTTTGCCCACTTTTGCCAGCAACACTGGTGAAGCATATGATTTTCAGAAACTCTATGAGGTGACAAAGGTTGTGACAAAGAACTTGAACAAGGTCATTGACAGGAACTATTACCCCGTGGAAGAGGCTAGGCGATCGAACATGCGCCACCGTCCTGTGGGTCTTGGAGTGCAGGGTCTTGCAGATGCCTTTATGATGATGAAGCTCCCTTTCGAGAGTGACGAGGCGAAGAAGCTGAACGAAGACATCTTCGAAACCATCTACTTCGCCGCTTGTGAGGCATCCTGTGAACTCGCAGCGATTCAGGGACCCTATGAGACTTACGAAGGCAGTCCAGCCAGCAAGGGTCTCTTGCAATTTGATCTTTGGAAGAAGGCCCCGAAGAGTGGACGTTGGGATTGGCAAGCCTTGAAGGCCTGGGCGCCGATTGTCATAGCTGAAACATGCTGAAAACCATGATCTGCCCTTGGATTTTCCTGATCGAAGCGCTTCGGCGCCTCGACTGCTTCAGACTCCCCTGTGAGGCGCAGATCGCCAGCCATGGCCTGCGGAACTCGTTGCTGGTCGCACCAATGCCCACGGCCTCCACAGCACAGAGCCTTGGCGTTCTATGTTTTTAGCTTGAGGAAAACGGAAAACATGGCAACACAGGTTGGAAAACATAGGTTGGAAGAGAGTCGCATCCTTGAAATCAGGCATTTTGATCACCGCCAGTTTTTTGGAATGCGACGTCGACAAACATACGGCTTGCCATTGTGTGGATGGTGCAACATCTGAGGATTCTGGGGAACAACGAGTCCTTTGAGCCCTATACGCAGAATTTGTACGTGCGCAGGGTGTTGTCCGGTGAGTTCGTGCAGGTGGGAGAAATGGGCAGGCAGAGATATCCCATTCTCGTTGCAATCCACTCCCCTCATTGGGAACCAGAAGCCAGAAAGCGTTTGTGGGGCCGCTTGAACAAAAACAAGGCGTTGAATGTGCTTTGAATCGCTGTCCAGGTGAACCGCCATTTGTTGAAAGATCTCATCGCGCGGGATCTTTGGAATGATGAGATGCGAGTCAAGCTCATTGCTCACAATGGAAGTGTTCAACGTCTCGACTTGCCACAGGAGCTGCCCAGAAAAGCTGAGTTTGAGGGCGACCTCCCCTGAAATCCAGGAACACAATCCCAGCCTTTGGTTGAAGAAGCTTTGTTTCTGAAGCAGCCCTGAAGCCCCTGCTAAGTCTCAGTCTAAGCTAGGCAGCTAGGCCCAGTCAACCTCTCTATCAGCAAATGGACTCCTTTTCCAGTTGTGTATTGGAATAGCGGAATATCGACAGGGCTTCAAGGCAAGGGCCCCCTCAAAGGCTACACCTCGCAGGATGTGAAGGATCTATACAAGACCGTTTGGGAGATCAAGCAGAGGTGCGTCCTGGACATGGCCGCAGATCGTGGAATCTACATTGATCAGTCCCAGTCGTTGATGCTTGGCAGACATCCCCCTCCTTCTCACCCTTTTGGAGGCGTAGGAGTGATCGCACGCTACGAACGGAGCATTTCGGGCATCGCTACTAGAAACAAGAGGACGCTACGAACGGGGCTCCTGGCCGTAGGAACACGGCACAATGTTTGCTATTAGAAACACAGAATCCATTCTTCCGTCGGAAGAAACGGGTCGCTGTCAGGAACATCCACATGACGGACGCCAACACGGCCAAGCTTAGCTCCATGCACTTCCACGGTTGGAAGTTAGGACTGAAGACCGGGCTCTACTACCTCCGCACCAAGGCTGCAGCGGACGCGATCAAGTTCACGGTGGATGTGGAGACCTTGAATAGGAGCACGGAAGCAGGGAGTTAAAGCAGGTCAAAGAACTACAGACCTTCCAGTGGATTTGAATGGTTTCAAGCATAATTTCTTTGTATCCTTGGCTTCCCTTGGGGCTGAGTTTACAGACGGTAGTTGGCGAGGACTGGCTCCGATTCCGAGGGAAGCACCTGTACCTTGTCGAGTTCAAAGAGCTCCACTTCCGTTGAGAAGTCCGTGATTGAGTCCTTGAAGGCAGAAAAGCCAAAGTATGAATGCATCAATTGCAGTGCTTAAATTACAGCTGGGGTGCTGTGAATAGTCATAACGACAGGGGTTGCCTCAAATGCTTGGAACGCTTTGAAGGCTTTCTTTTCGCGCTACAAGCTGGAAAGCTTGCAGTGCCTCCAGTCTCACCTTGGGGTGTGTGGCCATTTGCCGGGCTTGTCTAGGTGAAAGAAGCATGCACTAGCCACAAGTGCCTTTGTTTTTCTTGTAAATGCCGGGACTGGCCACATCTTGGAAGGAATTCAGTGCGAAGCACAGTGCGAGGTTGATCAAGGTTGAGACAAATATATTCAGGGGCGGAAAATGGAGTCTCGGTGCGGAAACACATTTGTTGAACTTGATTGAGATGATTGAATAAGACTCAGCCGCACTCAATCAACTCAATCATTATCACTGGTAGTCTGAAAAAGCCCCAACCTCCAGGCTGAATGCCAGCCTCAGCAAGTTCAGCAGTGGTGGTACAATAGTCATGCTGAGGAGCGGAGTCCATTTGTTGGGGGGCCTAGCGCTGGTCTATTTTGCATCAACAGAAAATCGAAAAGAAACAGAACAGCGAAAGAAGAGTAGAGAAGAGAAGAGGAGAGAAGAGGAGACTAGAGGAAAGGAGACAAGAGGAGAGGAGACAGCAGGAGGGGAGAGGAGAGGAGAGGAGAGGAGAGGAGAGGAGAGGAGAAGAGAAGAGAAGAGAAGAGAAGAGAAGAGAAGAGAAGGAGCCGAGCAGAGGAGAGGAGAGAAGAAAGAAGAGCAAGGAGAAGAAGAGGAAGAGGAGGAGGAGGAAGAGGAAGAGGAAGAGGAAGAGGAAGAGGAAGAAGGGAAGATCAAGAAGAGGAAGAGAACGAGGCAGAGGAAGAAAAGGAACACCAAAAAGAGGAAGAGCCAAAAGTGGAAGAGAGGATGAGGAAAAGGAGAAAGAGGAAGAAGAGGAAGAAGAAGAGGAGGAGAAGGAAGAAGAAGAGGAGGAGAAGGAAGAAGAAGAAGAGGAGGAGGAGAAGTAAGAAGAAGAAGAAGAAGAAGAGGAGGAGAAGTAAGAAGAAGAAGAAGAAGAGGAGGAGAAGTAAGAAGAAGGATAAGTAAGAAGAAGGAGAAGTAAGAAGAAGAAGAAGAAGAAGAAGAGGAATAATAATAATAAGACGAATAAGAAGAATAAGAATAATAATAATAAGAAGAAGAATAATAAGAATAATAAAAGAAGAAGAAGCAGCAAAAGTAAGAAGAAGAAGAAGAATAAGAAAAAGTAAGAAGAAGAAGAAGTAAGGAGTAAGAAGTAAGACGAAGAATAAGAATAATAAGAAGAATAATAAGAAGAATAAGAAGAATAAGAATTAATAAGACAAATAAGTAAGAATAATAAGTAATAAGAAGTAAGAAGAATAATAATAAGAAGAATAATAATAAGAAGAAGTAAGAATATGTAAGAAGAATGAATAATAAGAAAGAAGAAGAAGAAGGAAGAAGAAGAAGAAGGATAAGGAAAAGGACGAAGGAGAAGAAGAAAACACATAATAGTAATAATACGAATAAACATAAGAATAAGCATGATACTATAGAACAATAATAATAAGAATAACAATAGAAAGACGAAGAAGAAGAATAAGAATAATAAGAGGAGGAGGAGGAGGAGAAAGAAGAAGAGTAGAAAGAAGAAGATGAAGAAGGAGAAGGAAAAGGAATCAAGGGATAATAAGAAACAGCAAACACTGCATTTGACAGATTTGCAGAACACCCCATTTCATTCTGCACAACCAGTGTGATCTCTTCCGTCTTGAGGTTTGCAAGCGAAGTGCGAACGTTCGTACTGCAAGGGTGCTGAAGGTTTCTGCAGAACGTTCCTTTGGCAAAGATTAAGACATAGTGGAGAGTCCGTGATGCATTTTTATCGCACTACATAGTGACTAGTTTGGCAGCATGAGGCCTTTTGCAGGAGGATTGGGTCCAGCTGCGAACAATGGATCCACAGCTTGAGTCGTCCATTGGTTCGTCCAAGGCGCCGGGGAGTAACCAGTTGGTCAGTATCCCGAGAGTGTTGGCACATGTTTGATGGATCATTTGATGTTCTGGATGTTTCAAATCAGACATCTACACGATCAGTATCTAGTTGGGCAACCCTGTTCCAAATTGCCTACTTGGATCGCCAAGTGTGAGGCTGCAAATGCGTCGACGAACTCTTCAAAAGAATGTGCCTTGCAAGAAGTGGCTTCAGCATGACAGCTCTTTATTCAGATAACCTGCAGAGAGAGTCGTTGACCGAGGTCTGCCAGACGAGTGGAGCCTATCGGCAAACCTGGTCAAGTTGCTGGATCTCAAGGTGCATCCTTGAATTGACAAGATCTTGGAAGCTGTCCTTAAGCGACGATGCTCAATCTTCTGAGAAGAACATCGCATGCTGGAGTCCTTGCTCCTAGCAGTAAGGCCAGGAGCCCCTAGTAGCGTCCTTGCTCCTAGTAGCGATGCCAGGAGCCCCTGGTAGCGTCCTTGCTCCTAGTAGTAAGGCGAGGAGCCCCTAGTAGCTACTAGGAGAGATGCCAGGAGCCCCCTTGCTCCTAGGAGCGATGCCAGGAGCCCCTA